CCTCTTTTGGAGTCATAAATCTCACATTCATCATTTTAGAATGTGATCACATACCCCTTTTCTTGTAACTGACCGATATTAAGTAAGTTGGCCTTCAGATCAGGAATGTAGAATACATTAGAAATTGACTCTACAAAGCCATTTCTAGTCTTGATATCTACGGTTCCTTTCTCCATCACTTGGATAGTTGAATTGTTTCCAAGACAAATCGTAGTATGAAAATTTTCATCCAGAGTTGAGAAGAATTCCTTACAACCTGTCATATGGTTGCTGCATCCAGAGTCTATGGCCCATACACCTTGATCTGCAACCTTCATAGCATGGAATGACATTAACAATGTTTTTGTTAGGTTATGGAGCCTGCTCTCTTATTTATAGCTTGGTCAATGGTTATATCTGGTAAAGCTATATCCGACAAAGCTATACATGGTAAATAGCTATATATAGTAGATGGTTAAATCTGGTAAAGCTATATACAGTAAACTGAACCATATATATATCCCGTCCGGCAGAGCTTTGAAAATATACTTTCTATTCTCTGTATTCTCTCTTATACATACTCATCAATACAAATCCTTTAGCCAGAATTCTTGTTGCATTTTCTCTCTCCTATTTCTTTGTGTTTATCTAGATCGAGTGTGTGCGTTGTTGTGCGATCTTAACAACTGGTATCAGAGCTATGCGGAAGTCACCACGATCTGTGAAGATTGAAAGTTCAAAGATTGGAATTGAGAAGTTCGATGGATTCGATTTCGGTTTCTAGAAGATGTAGATAGAAGATTATCTGTACCAGAAAGATCTTCACGAACCCCTATTGGGGGTGAAGCCGGATACCATGACCATGGAATAGTGAAAGCTCAAGGATCGACAAACCTGAGGGCTAATCCGGTTGATGCTATCCAGAAACGTGGCATTCAACATTATCAAGGAGAAGACAATGTCAGATATGTTGAAGGCGTTGTCAAATATGTATGAAAAACCGTCTGGCTATGAACAAGGTGTATTTGATGTGGAGATTGTTCAATCTACAGATGTCTGAAGGTGGATCTGTTGTTGATCATATAAATGAATTCAATATGATCGTAAGTCAACTGAGTTCGGTGGAAATTAATTTCGAAGATGAAATTAAAGCGTTGATTTTGATGTCATCTTTACCCGAGTCATGGGATACTGTTGTTGCCGCAATCAGCAGTTTCCGAGGATCTGATAAACTGAAGTTTGATGAAATTCGAGATGTAGTTCTCAGCGAAAGTATTCGCAAACGAAAAATTGGAGATTCATCAGGCAATGCTCTCAGTGTTGATCGAAGGGGAAGAAGTAAATCAAAGAGCTCAAAGAAACATGGGCGATCAAAATCAAAGAACCGAGGAAAATCTCCAAACAAACCCAACATAACGTGTTGGAGTTGTGGAGGAAAAGAACACTTTCGGACAGATTGTACAAAACTGAAGAAGAAGCAGAATCATAAATTTGAAGATGATGATGATTTTATATATACAACAGAAGATACTGAAGACGTTTCAATCCTTAGTGTGGACAGCCCAGCTGAATCCTAGATTTTGGATTCAGGTGCATCATTCCATTCGTCTCCAAGCAAGGAATTGTTTCGAAATTTCAAATCAGGAAATTTCAGGAAGGTGTATCTTGCCGACAACAAAAGTTTGAAGATTGAAGGGAAGGGAGATGTCTCCATACAAACTCCAGCAGAAAATCAGTGGACATTACAAGATGTCAAATACATTCCTGGTCTCAAGAAGAACCTGATCTCTATTGGTCAGTTGGATAGCACAGGCTATGCAGCAGAGTTTGGAGAGAGTTCATGTAAGATTGTGAAGGGTGCCATGGTTGTTGCACGTGGCACAAAATCCGGAACCTTATATACTACTGCAGAGTGTATAAACATGACTGCTACTGCTGAGAGTACTTCCAATTCAAGTCTATGGCACAATAGACTTGGACATATGAGTGTCAAAGGAATGAAGATGCTTTACTGCAAAAAGAGCTTTAGAAGGCTTAAAATCTGTTGATATGGGTCTTTATGAGAGCTGTGTTATGGGCAAACAAAAACGAGTTAGTTTCACAAAGACTGCCAGAGAATCGAAGAAAGTGCAGACGTCTGGGGACCATTTCCAGTTTCATCACTTGGTGGATCAAGGTACTACATCACCTTCATCGATGACTTCAGCAGGAAGGTATGGGTTTACTTTCTGAAACGCAAGTCAGATGTGTTTGCCACCTTCAAGAAGTGGAAAGCTGAAGTTGAAAATCAAACCGACTTGAAGATCAAATGCCTGAGGTCTGACAATGAAGGAGAGTACAACAAATCGGAGTTTAAAATATTTTGTGCAGCTGAGGGAATTAGATTAATAAGAACAATTCCCGGTAAGGCAAGACTAAATGGTATTGCAGAAAGGATGAACAGAACATTGAATGAGCGAGCAAGAAGCATGAGGATTCATTTTGGACTACCAAAGACATTCTGGGCTGATGCTGTGAACACAGCAGCATATTTGATTAATAGAGGATTGTCAGTACCCTTGAAGTTCAAATTGCCTGAAGAAGTATGGACAGGAAAAGAACTTAAGTACTCTCACTTGAGAACTTTTGGTTGTACTGCATATGTTCATGTTGATCCAGAGAAGAGAGATAAGCTTGATGTTAAGGCTGTGAAATGCTACTTCATAGGCTATGGCTCTGACATGTTCGGGTACAGGTTTTGGGATGACAAGAATAGGAAAATCCTAAGACACTGCGATGTGACCTTTCATGAAAATGTCCTGTACAAGGAAAAAGAGAAGATAAACTTATGACACTACAAAGCAAGTGGGAGTTGAACTTGAGTGGAAGGAAAATTCACGCAGTGATGTTACAATAGAAGCTTAAGAAACTCCTAGTCCTGTTGCTGAAGAACCAGACGTGGAGCAAGTTACACCTGAGAAGGTGTTAAGGAGATCATCCAGAACTATCAGAGCACCAGATAGATATTCACTCTCATTACATTATCTGTTGCTGATTGATGAAGAAGAACTAGAGTCCTTTGATAAGGCCCTACAAGTGGAAGATTCAACCAAGTGGGAGCAAGCCATGGATGATGAGATGCTCTCACTTGAAAAGAATAAAACGTGGGTGCTGAATGTGTTACCTACAAGAAAGAGAGCTCTGTTGAACAAATGGGTGTTTAGAATCAAAGCTGAACCAGATGGCAAAATAAGGTTTAAGGCTCGGTTAGTAGTTAAAGAATAATCACAAAGAAGAGGCATTGATTATGCTAAGATCTTTTCTCCGGTTGTGAAATTAACTACTATCCGAATTTTGCTGAGTATTGTTGCATCAAAGAATTTGCACCTTGAGCAAATGGATGTAAAAATAGTGTTTTTACATGGAGATCTAGATGAGGAGATCTATATGCAACAACCAGAAGGGTTTGCAGCTCCAGGCAAGGAGCACATGGTGTGTAAGCTCAATAAGAGCTTGTATGGATTGAAACAAGCACCAAGACAATGGTACAAGAAGTTTGACTCCTTCACGTGCAAGAGTCGTTTCCACAGGAGTGAAAAGGATCAGTGTTGCTACCTCAAGAAATACACTGATTCTTATGTGTTTCTACTACTGTATGTGGATGATATACTAATTGTTGGATCAAGTATGAGGGAGATAAACCACTTGAAGGCAAGCTTGTCTTCAGTATTTGAGATGAAAGATTTGGGTGCAGCGAAGCAGATTCTTGGGATGAGAATTTCTCAAGATAGATCTGCTGGCACATTAAATCTATCCCAAGAGCAGTACATTGAGAAGGTGTTGTCCAAATTCAAGATGAATGATGCTAAACCTAGGACTACCCCCTAGCAAATCATATTAAATTGTCAAAGGGGCAATCTCCCAAGACAGTTGAGGAATGTGAGCACATGGCATCAGTTCCGTGCACTTCTGCAGTTGGGAGTTTGATGTATGCTATGGTCTGCACTAGACATGACATAACACATGCAGTGGGAGTTGTTAGCAAGTACATGGCAAATCTAGGGAAAGAACATTGGGAAGCTGTGAAGTGGCTTCTGAGATATTTAAGAGGTACATCCAATACTTCACTTTGTTATGACAATGGCAGAGTAGTTCTGCAAGGTTTTGTGGATGCTGATATTAGTGGAGATGTAGACTCTAGCAAGAGCACATCTGGATATATCTACACTATAGATGAAACAGCATTGAGTTGGATGTCCAAGCTTCAGAAATGCGTCGCTCTTTCATCTACTGAAGCTGGAATAGAGATGATATGGATGACAGACTATCTAGAAAAATTAGGCATAAAGCAGTGCAAGAAGATTCTTTATACAGACAATCAGAGTGCCATACAGCTGGTGAAAAACTCAGTCTATCATTCAAGGACAAAACACATTAGAAGGCGATACCATTTCACTCGCAGGTTAGTGGAAGAAGGTGATATGTGTTTAGAGAAGATAGATGGTGCAAAGAATCTAGCAGACATGTTGACAAAATGTGTTGATGTTGGAAAATTAAGGTTATGCAAAGCCTTAATTGGGATAGTGTAGTAATCATTTGAGAATGAAATTCTTGGTTGATTGGATCAGTCTCCAAGTGGGAGAATTGTTAAGTTATGGAGCCCGCTCTCTTATTTATAGCTTGGTCAACGGATATATCCGGTAAAGCTATATATGGTAAATTTTTATATATAGTAGATAGTTAAATCTGGTAAAGCTATATACATTAAACTGAACCATATATATATCCCGTCCGGTAGAGCTTCGAAAATGTACTTTCTATTCTCTGTATTCTCTTTTATACATACTCATAAATACAAATCCTTTAGCCAGAATTCTCCTTGCATTTTCTCTCTCCTATTTCTTTGTGTTCATCTAGATCGAGTGTGTGCGTTATTGTGCGATCCTAACAGTTTCTTCTTTTCTTTTCTCCACAAAGTTGGATTGATCTCTTCTTTTCTTTTGGAGCCTAGTATAACATTCATTTTTGTAATGTCCAAGGCGTCAACATTTGTAGCATTCCACCTTAGACTTGTCAAAATGTCTCTTGCCTTTATTGTCATAATCGTCTCTGACTAGATCTGCTGACCTGCCAACATCTCCACTTCTTTCTCGACCGCCTCTTCCATGACCTCTGCCTCTTCTTTGCCCTCTACCTCTGGAGCTTGAAGTTTCACTTGGTGTGGATATCTTTAAGGTTGTCATCTCCTCTATTGCACTTGTACGATTGAGCTTCTGTTCATGTACTAGCAGGGAGCTTTGGAGTTCATCTATTTGCGTCTCTTGGACATTGTTTGCTTCTTCAATAGAACATACAATGTAATCGAACTTTGGAGTTAGAGATCGCAAAATCTTTTCTATAACCGCAACATCTGTGATTGAATCACCATGCATCCTCATTTTACTTGCAAGACTCGTATCCTTGCCAATATAATGATTCACCGTTTCTCCCTTTTGCATTTGGAGAATTTCAAAGTCTCTTCTAACCGCCTGAAGTTGAGCACGCTTTACTCTCGTTGAGACTTGATACTTCCTTCTCATAGAATCTCAAATTTCCTTGGATGTCTTCTTCTGCAGCATTGTTTCCAAATTAGTCTGATCAATGGACTGGAATAAATAGTTCTTGACCTTCAGGTCCTTCAACTTCGATGCTACCAATCGTTGCTGTTGAACAGCTGAGAGTACCTCGCCTTCATTTGGCTCTACATAACCCGTCTCCACAATATCAAAAAACTCCTTTGATTTGAGAAAATTTTCCATCAACATGAATTTCCTAGGTTCAAGAAGGATTGAATATGCGAGTTAAGGAGAGAATGACAAAACACTTTCTCAACCAGAATGCATCAACAAAACAGCCCGCCCTTACATATGGATCGTCGTGGCATGAACTTTGTCAAGAAATTACGGGACTTCCTATTGATCTTGATTAGTTCCAGCTTGTTGAGAGTTCTCTTTTCTTTCTAGACCGGACCCTTTTTTAGACCGTCTCCTGAAAGACCTTATCCCGCATGTGCTTTCGGAGCCCCACACTCATTCAATGACTTGCTTGTGATTGCAGCCATTCCCCGAAAAGGGAGAGAGGAGGGAATCGCCATCTCCCAATGATCATAGTGATCATCAAACCTCGGGATGGCAGGCTGAACGTAGCTCTCAACTTGTCTTTCTACTTCCATTCTTGCTGCTGCAAGATCGCTCTAATCCCAGTTGTTGGTGACAATAGAGAAATTTGGTAGAATTCTTTGAGAGAAAAGAACTTTGAAAACTACGAAGGAATGCTTGTTTGATTTTCTATGCTTTCCACCAATGCCAACATACATATATATAGGTAATTTGGGACATTCCCCATTACCATCCATTATCCAAAAAACATGCACCTATTTAATTAGGAACTAATAAATCTATTCATACATGTACTTATACATGTATCTATACATGTACAAGTGTGACCCTTCAACACATGTATCTATTCATACATGTATCTATACATGTACAAGTGTGACCCTTCAACATATGTATCTATTCATACATGTATCTACTAGTGACCTTTCAACACATCATGTATCTACTAGTAACCCTTCAACACTTTTGAACCTTATGTGCAACAAACGTCACAATTAGTACATGTAATTAAGGTAAGAAAAGAAAGTAGTTTATTAAGTATCTTGCAGTTATATTCGCTCCCAAATCCAGCCATGAAATTCAAGTAGATTTCTTGCTTAAAAAATGGGAAGGAATCTCAAAAAACATGGTGAGGAAACCCGTGGGAAGCAAATTCCAAAGAAATTGTAGACTCTTTCGAACACTTTTCCCCAGCTCCAGCAACAGCGGAAACTTCATTACTACAAAAATGGTTATTGGAAGAAGCGTCACCAAACACAAAAGGCATTTCGCTCACACCATGTTGGTCGATTTAATAATGAGCACGATGGCCACTGCGAACGCAATCATCGTGCTCGCCACCGACAAGAACAACAGATTGAATCCCAAGGACAGTTGAATTGGCAATTCATGTAAAAAAGAATCGATCTCAAAAGGCGAGGTCAAAATCAAGAGAAACATAACCAAGGAGGAGAGCGATGAGATGAGGGAGATGATGTCCATGGTGGTGAACAACATGTAGATAGGTTCAGAGAGGAGAACCGGAGTGCCAGTTTTGGAGTTGAGGACAGCAACAGCGGAGCAAGACTCGGAGGTTTTCTTGATCCATTCTTTGCTTTTATCAAGTATATTCTGTTGAGTTTCATCGAAGAACTCACGGGGTTTCCAACCGTCGTTGCTATAATGCATGTTGTAAGGGTGCGGAATCATTTCGTGGATGCGATCGAACCAGTCGATCTCATTTTGAAGCTGTATTGCTGGACCAAAGGTGGAATGATTGAGGAATTTAGTGATTCCAACATGGTGCAATACTTAGCCCAACAAGTCGATCCTCTTGGCCATTTTGTGCAAGATAAGAACTCGGCGTTGAATCCATTCAAAGATGTTGAGTTGTCGGTGTGCAATGATGACATGTAGAATGTTTTTGTCGTTTGTTTTTTATGGTGTTAATATAATACATGCGGAAGCAATTTGGATCTTAGGCACTTTTAGAACATCAATTATAGTAAATAACTACCATGTTCATAAGTATTAAAACTTAATGAGTTTAGATACTAACCTTTTGTAGTCAAACTCCTTTTTTCCCACGAACTGGTTTCGAACCACCACTAGTGTCTTCTCCACTATCCTCCGGCCTTAGAACGGGATTGTGGAATTCGGTGAGTGACTAAACTTGGGAGGGATTTTATATATATGTAGAGAGTGTTTGTGAGAGGTTTTTCTCAAGGTTTTTCACCAAGAAGAAGAAGACCTTCCATGTACCATGATCGCTCTATTTAAATAGTCATGTTTGCATGTTCATGCAAATTTGAGATCACCAAATTTTGACACTTAAAATTCCACTCAAATGTTTGGGATTATGTGGCAAACATGCATGTTTGAGTTAACCAAATTTTGACACTCAAAGTTCCACTCATACTTGTGGGGTTTATTTGGCCAGCATGCAAGTTTGGTTAAACCAAATTTTGACACCTCAAAATTCCACTAACATGGATTTTTCCACTAAATGAAGCCAACATTTTAATTCAACAATTAATTTGAATAATAAATTTCAAATTAGAGTAACATTAAATGATTAATTAAACTATTTAATTAATATTTAATATTAATTCAAATGTCAATCCCAATCCAATCTTACAAATAATTGATTAAGATATTTAAATCTTATTTAAATATCTCAGATTCTCTCTTTTTGTTTAATTCGTAAATAAAACAAAAATGTGTTTAAATATATCGTATATATGTAGCGCATATTCCCTAATTTGAATTCGAACACTTCGAACTCACTCGTCACACTGTTCTATGGTTTAGTTCGATATGAGCTAGCAGAAGGACCTAATGGACCTATAGATCATGGGCTCCAACGATCCAAGATTAACCGGTTAAACTCATTAACCTTGTTAACCAACATTTGTTAACTACTAGGACACTCCACTATAGCCTAGTAGTTGCACTCCCCTCACTATAGATATATTTATGTCCATTTGATATAACCATGATTAGTAAGTCGATCATTCACAGGTTGTTCGTAACTAGAGTGGGTCAATTTACCATTTTACCCCTAAAGTTACTTCTTGTTCCTTATGTCTCACTGATCTCTAATAAACAATTGGTTTGTGGTTCAACCAGTAAACCGAATCCCTCTCAGGCTAATGAGAGGGTGGGGCCCCTTGTTCAAGACCTAGAGTCAGTGCTTAAGGGAACTACCTCTCTTCTATCCCTAAAAGTGGGTAGGAGTGAATTCCATCTTGCACCCCACGTCCCTAGCCATTCACCCAGTCTTACCCCTGAAATGGGAGGCCTATTGAGTCGGCGAACTAGAGCCACTCTCACCCATGCAAATCTAAGGATAATTCCGAATAAACATGAGTTCATGGTTAGCTCAGGATTAAAACCGAGTTACCTAGGTTATCGAATGAAAGAAAATCAGTCTCAACAGTAAATGACATTATAAAGTGAGAGTGGTTTTCTTCATGGTCCGATCTTATGCAATACTCATTGCATAGGACGCCCCCACTCACATGTCTTCACATGTATAATTTAGTGATCACATTGTTTATATCATATACAAAAGTGGGCCGCATCCATAGTGTCCCCAGAATAAGGTACTCAGCCTTATCCTTATACTATATATACTTGAACTTGATCCACTCTTTTGTCTCTACATATAGTTCAAGTAATCATACTATAGCCAGAGTGTTCTTAGTTTATTGGATTTAGATTAATGATCGTAAAGTTCACTTTATTCAATAACAATCTTTACTGAATAAACAACAATAACAACTTTATTGAAAATAGAATATATTTTTGTTTACAAACTATGAGTTTTTGGACATAAAACCCAACAGTTGTCACGTAGTCCACAGCCTGTGGGTGGGCTTTGATGATCCTTTCGACCACTTCTATTATTCCCCTGGTTGCGGCCAGTAACAGTGGCGTCTCATGGTGGTCCATGTATTCAATCTTTTTACCATCGGCTGTACGGTCTTTTGCTTGTTCTAATACGTTAACACGAGTGCTGTTGGGCTCCCATTTTTCCCCACAACATGACAAATCTATGTTCGAATCTGTGTCCACCCTGTGTTTTAAATGTCATAATTAATATATATATATATATACACTTTTTTTTTTTTTTTTTTTTTTTTTTTTTTTTTTTTTTTTTTTTGTTAAAAACATGTTTTAGAGTTAGAGAAAGAAGACCTCGCATGATTAATCTCCCAACCAACCTCTTCAAACTTTGTCTAACGTTTGCACCTGCCACGCACAAACGATCCTTGAGTACTTGTTTTTGATTGAATACGAGTAAAATTAAGAATTTTTCATTTTTAAGAGTTTAAAATGTTAGGAATGATATTATCTACTTTGAGCTTAAGCTCTCATGATTTTGCTTTGTGCTTCTAGAAACGTTTCATAGATGTATTCCTTACTTATAAACCCATGAATATTTTCTAAATTAGGGTGGGTGGAACTCCTCCCAATTATGTTTATGTTTAGCGACAAATCCTGGTTATAGATCAATTCTCCCCAAAATCCCTTCACGTATCCACTCTCAAAAATGTGTGGCATATTGGCCAGCACGTGGAGAGCCGTCTGGTTTTTTGAATCCTTCATCTCCAACAGTGACTTGTCGAAATCCACCAACATCATAACCATCTCTGCGATAAAAGCTTTGAATTATATGTATTAAACCTTTGAATTACCTTCAATTATGGTAACAAAAACTGAGACACTAACCAAAGTTCTCGCTTTGAATGGCTTCATGAATGATTGGAGTAGTACCATCTGCCATCCAATTTAGGGGAGATCGAGTGTAATAATCTTCACATTCATTCAAAATATATTCAACGATCTGAAGTTGCCCATATCTGGCTGCCCTATACAAAGGCGTTTCACCCCGCTTGTTCAACGCCAACAAATCCTCCTTCCTGAACTCAACCAAAAGCTTGAAAGCATCCAAATTCCCCGCAGTGGCAGCTTCATGTAGAGGTGTGTTTTCAGCGGAGCTTTTCCAATGCTCTGTGTAATCCATCTCCATCACCTGCTCAAGAATTGTTTTTAAAGGTTCTTTTTTTCCACTGTACACTGCCAAATGAAACGCCGTGTCTCGATTGCTAGTGATCGGAAACACTAACTGCCTCGCACCCTTACATACCTCCAGCAGACGCCTCCATTCTCCCCTCAACACTAGCTTGTATAACTGTTTTTTCTCCTCGTACAGACCCATATCTTCTTTGGGTTTTGGTTTCTTTTTTTGTTCAACAACACCCCAAATCTATTTTATACAAAAAAAAAAAAAAAAAAAAAAAAAAAAAAAAAAAAGGTGAAATGTCGTACTGAACTTGAGTTGCGTTCCTATCTCCTTTTGCAAAAAATTTCAGAAATTATAAGTAAACTTAGCATCTCGACTATCACTTTTACATATAACTGGGCCCATTGATCTACTCGATAAGTGGCTGTACCTAGAATGAAGTAGGTTGTCTTGGTAAATCTATCAACAGTGACCCAAATGACATTAAAGCTATCCATCCTATCCGAATTTTCCTAGCTCGACGATCTTAGTATCGGAGTTCAGTCTCGACGGTAGAGGGAAGTGGAGGCTCTGATAGCACTATCCACGCTGCCCAAGTCTGGTGAGTTACCTAGATTGTCTACAGTTACCGTGGTGTCCAGGTTTCTAGGGCGAATCATGGTAGCTTAGACTTGAACTCATTCATCTTTAGGATGATGGATGTTACCCTCGATCGAAAATATGTCAAAACAAGTAAAAGAGGCAAAGGAACACTTTAAGGGTAGAGATCTTATGGAGCAAAGAAAGGTTGAGCACTTAGCTTTTCAAATCTCTTTGTTGTATGAAAAAGCATACAATGTCATGAGTATTGACAGGGGAGAAAGCACTTAACTAGCTTCCTAAATTTTCTCCTCAAGTTAAGGAACCGCTATCTTCCTAATTAAAGCATAAAACTTAATCTACAACCATAAAACTTTGTTGGTCCACAATTTGGCAACTATTACCAATTCTATTGTAGTTGCTCTGTTATAACTTATTCTACTAAGTCCACTAACAATTCTTCTAAAGTTATAGTTACTCATGAGTCAGTAACTTATTCTACTAAATCTACTAATAATTCTCGTAAAGTTCCTCAATAAGTTAGTACTTATTCTATAAGTCAAGTTTATAAGCTCATAATCTCCTCCGTAAACTTGACTTTGATCAAGATTCTTCACTCCCAACAATTCCCACACCTCTTCAAACTTAATCCTTGCTAGGACTTTGGTTTAAATTTTCACACGTTGCTCTCTAGTGCATATGAACTCCACAACAATTTATCTCTTCTCAACACACTCACAGATGAAGTAGAAGTGAGTGTCAATGTGTTTGCTGCGTCCGTGAAATACTGAATTCTTCATCAGAGAAATCGCAGATTTGTTGTCGACGTAGAGAGTTACCAACTTTAGTTCACTTCTAGTCACCTCTCTCAACAAATTTCTCAGTCACAATGCTTGACACGACGCCGCAGGTGCTGCAATGAACTCGGTCTCACAGGAAGATAGTACCACAATTTACTGCTTCTAAGATTTCCAAGAGATCAAATTTTCGTTGAGATAAAACGTCATTCATGCGGTGCTTTTTCTATCGTTAATATCTCTAGCTAAATCACTATCAGTAAAATCGACTAATTCTTTAGGACCACACCCTCTTTGATACTTCAACCCATAGCTTGTGGTTCCCTTCACATAGTGGAGAATGTGCCTAACCGTTTGATGATGCATCATAGTGGGCTTTTCCATGTACCTACTCACTATTCCAACAACATATGAAAGGTCTAGACGGGTATGAGTCAAGTACCTTAGACTTCCAATGACACACCTATACTCAATGGAATTCATCATGCTTCCTTCAACATCTTTCCCGATTTGTAACTTTGCTTTCATGGAATACTTGGTCGAGTTGGCATTGTGGTGGATTGGGCTCTAGGAATGGCCAGTGGGTTACGTGTTGGATCCTTTTTTGAATCTTTTCTCCGGTAACTTTTCTCTCTACTCTGTAACGTCGTCTCGACATTCGTTTCATATCGATTCTTTTGATTTTGCGTTGTCTCTCCTTCCTCTTCACTTCTCTTGTAATTGTTTGGCTCGTAAGGAGCTAATACACGTAGATCTTTGAGGGGTTATAAGATCTGAAATCCAATCCTCTCTTCAGATGACATACAACGTGTATGGGGTGTGGAAACTTACCCCTTGCATGGTACAAGCCACAGTGATCCTTTTCGTGGCAAAATTTTATGGTGTCGGTAGTGTGGCTAAAGATGGGTGGGAGCGTGGCGATTCGTGGACAAACGGAAGAGCTCCCACAACACTTGACTTGTGCTCGAGTCCTACCAAAGAAGATCTTGTGCAATATGAAGAAGGTTGGAATACTTAAAAAAGTCTTGTCTAGAGTTTCTACAAATGTAGAATTGTTACTTTGGGATTTTTTTTTTTTTTTTTTTTTTTTTTTTTTTTTTTTTAATGAAGTGATTTGATTTAGTTTGTCAAGCTGTGATTTGATTAAGTAATTACTGGTTATTATTTTTCTTGAGTTGTTTTGGGTTGTTTGGTCGATTTATGTGGCTACTTCAATTTATCAAAGGATATAATGTTGATGATATATTGATTTTAGTTTTCTATTTTTTAGAGCCTGGTCACCTTCAAAAGTAGCCCTTTTTCAGGATAAAAGGAGAGATATGGGGACCGAGAGTAGTTCTATAAGGTTTCAAAAAAATAATAAATAAATAAATATCAATAATAATAATAATAATAATAACTTGTGCGGTCACCGAAAAACGTGCAAGTCTCGGAGATCCCGCACCTTCAATGAAACCACAACCATACCGGATGTCCTACACTTCAGCAAACCCTTAGATCTCACTTGTAAGAAAAGGAAACTCAAAATGCCGAGAGAAAAGGATGGATGACGAACAATTTTGTTTCATCGGACAAAAATGCCAACGAAACAGAGATCTTAAATTTAGAAAACGAAAGACGAGCAAACACGCAGATGATTAATACGACCATTATTCTAGGAAAATGAGGGCGAGCTCAACGAGTCTAGTATGGTTTCAGAATGTGTAATAAGAGTGCCAACAAGGATGAGTTGAAGAAAAACAATAACGTCGGAAAATCTCATGTTTTTACAAGTAGATAAAAAGATAGTGCAACACCATGCTAAGAGAGGACTAACGAGCCAAGAAGCCAAGAAGCGGACGTTCATTAATATTCAGAAAGTTTAAATAGAATACAAGCTATCCGCTAAGAGAAAATATATTTCATAAGTAACTTTATATCATAAATCAAATTTCTTAACGATCAACCATTTCCGTCTTGATCCGTCTTTTTTTTTTTTTTAAGGTTATTACGTAAATAAATAAATAAATGATTGATTAACTTGCACTACATTGTTATCAAGAACATATAAACAAACAACACTTATCACTGTTTTCTTCTTTGGGTTATAAAGGTTGTTTTTTTGTTTTTTTTGGCAGAACATATAGAAAACATTTGCTTCAAAATGGAAAAGGAATTTTGTTCCTTCTTGAAACAAGCTATTTTTTATTCTTTGGATCACGTGGCTTCCCACACTTTACTCTACACCACTTTAGCTTTACAAAAAGAGAAATAAGTACTTTAACTTTTAAACCAGTTTGGTTTATTGAATAACATTTTCCCCTTTTTCATATGTAAGATATTGATTATTTTATTGGTTAGTTTCAATTTCATATTCTATAATCTATAATATCTACACGAAATAAGGGTGATTATAGGAGAGAAAATATTTTTATATGCTAATAAATAATTTCCATATAAAACCATAATTATTATAAAAGAGTATTACAATTATTTCAACTTTTATATTCCATTCCATTGTCTATTGAACTCTACTTCGACATATAATAATCTTTACATTATTATTTTTTTATTATATTTTGAAGGTACATTTACGCATATTTTAAAATTATAGTTGAATAATGATTCTGAAAAATATAAATGTTAAGTAATACTCACCTATGTTAAGTAATACTCGGTAAGTGACTTCATTACTACAATTAGGAAATGTAATCATGTGTAATTGTGTTTGGGACCTATCATAAAACATCATTCCATGCCAAGTCTCAACTTCCAGTCCAAGTAGAATTGGATGTGTAGTACTACTCTACACTCGGCTCATGTGAAAAATTTTCTAGACGTGCTCCTGTGAGACCTGTGTCTTGAAGAATGTCTAAAAAAATTTCCTTGGAGACATAAATATTTATTTTCTAGATCGAGAAGATTCAATGCCAATAACAAAGTGAATAACAAAGTGAATAAAGAAAGTATTTATAGTAAGCGGGAGAAGGAAGTATGTCAAATACGTCCTATGGCTCCACCACTAGGTTGCACTATGAGGTTCCCATGTTCCACCTGCATGTTGCCCTAGAGCAACTACCCATTCGGAGGGTCGTAACATGGGAGTCGAAACAACGCAAACTCCATAAATGGATAGGATTTCTTAGGTCCGTTCCCAACTTTGGCTTTTTCATTCGATAGCATTGTTGGGACCGATCTATGAGGTCTGAAAATGGCGGGTCACACTTACGAAGAAATACTAAGAGTTGGTATATTCTTGACCAAAACAACGATAACTAAGAACACTATAGGAACAAGAGTTATTCTGGGAATAGTGTTTAAGTCAAGAATGTCTTGGTTTAGTGAATGAGTGATGGACTGCCCCTCGGTAGCAGTTGCTCTAACTCACTAAAGTATCATTGCAAATTAATAATGATTTGGGTACATTATTACATTTGCTAAAACTGATTGGATTAAACAGGATTAAAGTTAAATCACTAATAGAATTTTCTTTATATCACAGCATGACAAACTCAATAGTACAATTACTCGCTTCTGAGAAATTAAACGGCGACAACTACACAACTTGGAAATCAAACCTAAACACAATACTGGTCATTGATGATTTAAAGTTTGTTTTAACTGAGGAGTGTCCTCCAAACCCCAGCTCAAATGCAAATCGAACAGTTCGGGATGCGTATGACAGATGGATAAAGGCAAATGATAAAGCCCGAGTGTACATTCTAGCCAGCATATCTGATGTTTTGGCTAAGAAACACGATGTTATGGGTATTGCTAAAGAGATTATGGAATCTCTAAAAGGGATGTTTGGACAACCATCCTTCTCCCTTAGACATGAAG